AAACTCAGAGATTCTGCTGATCCACCTTCTTACTGTCCAAACAAGGCAGACATGCCATTTTTCCTCCTTGGATTCACTTCCCCCTCACTGCCTATTTTATCCACTTTAAACAAACATCTGTACGATTTCAGAATTCTGAACACAATGTTTCCAGTCTCCATTCGATGTTTCCCCCCTGCATTTATACTGTTAGATAACCACACATTTACAATTTACAACAGAGGTCAAGTGAAAATCAATTACATGCTTTCAAGTTTATTATTACAGGATACTGTCAATATGACTGTTTGCATGGTGCTCCTTTATGCTACACCACTTCCCTGTTTTTTGAATGGCCTTTTGTTGAGTGTGTAAAAGTCCAACTGCCTCTTACCGAGTTTGTTAACCCGCCTGCAACCTTTGGTACATGGCTGAGCATTAGGTTTATTATTCTAAGTGCTATGGGATGGCAGTGTTTGGACAAGGAAGAAGTGGGACGCCACCCTATTTCTTAATAGTCCACTGGGCCCTGTGTTTTTTGTGTTTGCATGTGTGTGTTCACATGCTTTTGTGTGCATGCCTGAAAGCCTGGGAAATGCAGAACCTCATTTATCTTCATTACTTATACTCTATTACACTGTCCTTCCCAATAGGTGGCTAAATTTATTTCCTGCACCTCATCCCATTTAATCCTGACTGCTGTACAGTGTAGCTGTGAACTTACTGAATCCTGTTATTGCCAGACATGCACATATGTTCATAGTAATCCTGCATCTTTATGCATGTAATCAGGATATTAATCCCTAACTGTCAACTCGGGTCATCTGCATTGATTATTTAAAATTAACTTGATGTACAGACAGATACCTGCTAATTAATCCTCAGTGTAGGCTAATAAAATACTAGGATTTCATTTAGTCAATGCAATTGAAGCACAAACTTTTTGGCTGGGTTTCACCACATAGCAGGACATATTATTTGTAAGATGATTTAATTAAAAACTCTCCAAAAGGCACCAGTAGCAAGAGCATGGCTCGGAGGTCCACTTCAGTGACTCAGGATTGACTTGTTTTTTGAAGCCTCAAGTGGTCACTAGAGGAACTGCAGCTTTTGATACTTCAGCACTGGCTTAGATTTTCAGCCCTTGATTTGCAGCTTCCTTTGAAACGTATGTTTGTTTGTTTTTTGTTTTTGTTTTTTAGGGCTTGTTGGGTATATTGGTGTCTAAAATTGTATGTGTGAGTGTTTGTCTCTGGAAAGACAGGCTGTCTACATAATAGCCTTGTTTTTACTCTATGACAGTTGTGATTGGCTACAGTTCACTTTAAATTGATACATTTTAATGATTAAAAAAAATAATGATTGTCACAGTTTATTTATATTTAGCTTTCATAAACAAATATCAAAATATCTAAACTACATTTTGCAATTTCTTTTGGGATTTTAACTTTTTTCCAGGGTATAGTGAAACTCTAATTTGAGATGGAGAGTAGATGACCTGCTCTGACTCCCAGAGTTGTGATTTTTTTCTTTCTTTATGTGGATGGTTGTTGGCACTCTGGCCTACAGGTTAAACCCTAATCTACCATCTGCAATCTCTTTGTTACTAGTGTGAGCTTTTTTTTTCTTTCTTTTTTTTGCTGAAATACTTTAAATGTGCTCTGAATAACTTCTGCTTCAAATGCAGGTATAGGGTAATAACTAAATTATTTTTTCTTGGTGTGTAAATCTACTTTCCAACGATCCCTGTTGAAGAAAACATGTTTCTTTTCTTTACCTTACCATCTTCAAACAGTCATAAAATTAATCAATTACGTTGGAAAAATTTGTTTCAGTCATTTCTTTCCCCCAAATAACAAAAGCTACCCTTTTGGTGGAGATGAAGTAGGGTGTCCTACTGATAGCTGAGATTTATAAACACATTTTTGTTTTGTTTCCTACTCTTACAATTTACTTTTTGCGCCTTTTAGCCATAGTTTTGAGTTTTGTTTTCCTCAATCAAGGATAATAAGGACAAAACAAGGATGGGATCAATGATAGAACAATGCCCTCAGTCTGATTTTGAAAGTTCTGTCGCTGCAAACAGGTAACCTCAATCCTTGCCATCTCATGTTCCTACACCAGTAAACTGCTGGTGAGAGGATTCCTTGTTCTGCACCAATCCCTTGAGAGCAGATGACACTTTTAACCAGAACCTGCAGCAGGTGGAGAACTGGTTCTGTTACTGAGCTCACTGAGGCTGCAGAGCAGGACAAGAACTACACCATTGTGGTGTTTGATGTCATTCATAGGCATGTTAATGGTGCCAGCCCTGTTGCAGCTTTTATGGATTTTTGGAGGGTTGTCTAGTTTTCCTTTTAGGAAAATTGGGGTCTAGATCAGACTGCATTTTGTGTGACATAATAAGTGGTTATCAAAATACTGCCCTCTGCTTTCTTTTTATTCAGTGCAAGGATCCAAGTCCTGCATCCTTCTTTGCACTGTTTGCTCTGTTAAGTAAACACCTGCTTATGTTCTGTAGGTCATTTGTCAGCCTTTAAAACAAACAAGCGTTAAGGCATTTCTTTGCTGGCCTTCAATTATTCTAAATGGCTTGGCCCTATCACTGTACAGCATTTAAGAAGCTGCATTTAAGCCATCTGGATTGAGCTACATTACATGTGGGAAGCCACAGTCTCCTCAGCACTTCCATCTGTCTGTAACTTACTAATACAGTGTGTTAGGCACAGATGGAAGAGCTGATGGCTTGGCTAGTATTAAATAAAGCCCTTACAGTTGCAGTAACCCTGCAGGCAGTTTGGTAACATTAGTTTTAGCAAACACCACAAATCTTATCATCCTGCTGATGAAAGGAGATTCACATGAACCAGTTAGCTACTGCTCCTCTCTCACGGTTTCTCAGCTGGGACCACCAGTCTATTTTTAGACTTGCAGAACATATAAAGGGTTTACAGACATCTTTGTGTGTGCGTGTTTTAATAACAAATATAAACTCTAATTTCAGTTAATATAGGGTTACATTTTTTTTTTGTAGTTCGAACTGTGAAGTAGACTTTCTTGTTTCAGTTTAGTCTTTGTAGTTACATTTAGTTAAATTTTAAACTCAAACAGCTAAAGGATTGAGATTGATGATCATCTATCCATCCATCCTGGATAGACGGGTGAAAGAACATATGGATGGACATATCTCTGATTCTATGGAAATTATTATTAGTTTCAAAGTGGGGGTGGAAAAAGTTGTTCTGGGTTTCTGGACTTCTACCTCCACACCTAAAATGACAACAGACCACTGCCACCATCTGGAAAGAAGTAGAGTCCATCTGCAGCTCATTAAACTGACGTATTACTAATAAAGCAATACTTTAGAGGTAAGGAGACAAGACGGCACTCATTTTGTACTAAATATTGAGCCCTGCTACTACAGTACAGTGAAATAATCCTAATTACTTGCGGCACAGTCAAGTTTCGAGAAATATTACTTCAAGTAAAATGAACTACAGAAAAAGACAAATTCTAAGTTACACTGATATAAGCCAGAAGTTTTTGCCACTAACTGCAGAAGAAAATTATAGCCTACCCGTACATGGCAAAATATTGTACATTTACAAGTTGTGCATCCCTTGTTTTGTCATTTTAGAAATATCTTATGTTTCAAGTACTGATACACATTGATGTGCTTTTCTTTGTTTAATAGGCCTGCATTGTTTCTTATGTAATACTGTGGGAATGTGTAGTTTCACTCAGAGCTTTTCTTGCATATGTAGTGTTGTATTAAAAAATGTTTTTAAGTTGTTGTTTTTTTTCTTTTAAAATTGGTGGTTAGTAAACTTTTGCATTTATCAGATAGACATAAAAGAAGAATGCAGGCATTTCTCTATAATAATACATCATAGATGTACTTTTGTTTTGTGTGGAGACCAATTGCTATTATGTGCATTGTCACACCCTCTAAAAAGGCCCATTTCTCAGTGAGAAAAACCTTTATAACTGTAATTATAGTTAATTAAATGTAAAATAAATTGTGTGGTACTTGGGTTCTGTAGATATTTATAAAATTAAGAAGTGATGCATCACAACTTGAAAAATTGACCTGGAAAGAGCAAAAAATTGAAATGTAATGTGTTTTCCTTTTTATTTTAAAAAGGGAAATGCACATTAATTAACATGAACACTTTGTCCCATCAGTTGAATGGATAGTATTTATCCATACGGGCTAATTTTCATCGGCAGTACCGTGTAGTTTGATAGATGAAGCCTCTGGTGTATGGCATTAGATTTTGGTGCAGTTCTTTCTTTGCTACTGTCAGTATTTAATTCCCAGCACAATATTTACTGAAAACATGATTGTGCCACAATTAGGGTGATCTCACTGTAGCAGCAGGCTTGAATATTTAGTGTGAAATAAGGGCTGTCTTGTCTACTCACCTCTGGCACTTCTCACGGTCTTTTCTTGTCCTCTTCCATTACAAACTAAATTATTGCTGTACTAGCAATACATCAGTTTAATGAGCTGCAGATGGACTCTGTACTTCTTTCCAGATGGTGGCAGTGGGTTTTTGTCTTTTTAGGTGTTGAGGTAGAAGTCAATTCAGAATTTTTAGGTATAATTTCTAAACCTTGCTCAACCTTAGAAAGTGATTTCCTGTGAAAACCCGCAAACCCCACACGATTCCCTAACATGGAAAAGAATCAACACGAGCATTTTAAAACTTGTCCCAGGGTGTAGTTGTTGTTGGGTTTTTTTTGTTTTTGCTTTAAACGAGGTGGAGGTTTTTGTGTTCAGCCTTCGCTCTTGTTAACAAGGAAAAATCCCCTCACTCTCAGGCTTCTTCCACGTGAAGTCTTTTTGCCATTGTGACTCAGATTTTCCTCTTTCTTGCCGACTTCTATAAACACACTTGTCACTTTTCACGTTTTCCAGCCTCCCCACAGCAGTAGTAGTCTCGCCGCTTCTCTTCTGCTGATTCAACATTGTGCTTTTTTTTGTGTGTGTGTTTTATCCCCTCGGTCTGGGAGAACAGAGAGGTGACGAGAAGAATGACGAGTTCCTGAGATGCTCAACGGACTCGTACATGATTTTCTAAGGCCTCCAGAAGCTGAAGACGGGGTGTCAGTGACAGGTAAGAGGAGTTTCTTGCATGCAGTACTGCTAAAACCTCTGCATATGTTGAGGCCATTTCCTCATACCCGCATTAGGTTTTCTCTAATGGTCATTTCCTGTTTGACACTTTGACGTTGTGACTTGGCTTCAGCGTGGCCCATATGTTGCAGCGTGCATAGTGCTGGCGTGGACGTTAACACATTCTTGCTGCGTGGGAGCTTGCAACAGATCTTAATCATGGATAGGGTATTGCTGTAATTCCAGAGCGGGAGGCATAACCCTAATCTCTTTGCCACATTATACAGTAAATCAGAGTGTGGTTAAGTTGGGTCCCTGCCAGCTCAAAACAGCCCATTTGTGTGGATTTATGTATGACTGGACTTGCTCAGTAGGACTACTTATTTTAATCTACAAACGACCCTTTCTCTCACTTCTCTCTTCATACTGATGAAGCACCCTACTGCTGAAATTTTCTCAGCGGTTTTATTTGGGAGGTGTGCATGAATTGCTTTGTGCCATGGTGGATTATTTTGGAGGTAAGTGGTCCAAAGGGCTGGCTGGTCAAGGCCAGTTTTAGCTGCAGCGTCCAATGGGAGTGTGTCCCCATGCTGAGGCAGCACGGACACTGATGGATGGCCTAGCTTTCTGTTGGTTTCTGTTCCCAGACGGGAGCCGTTGTTAAGAAACTATAGAAGGAAGCAGGATGACGGACCGCAGAGAGATGGCAACACAGCTTATTGTGGATGACCACCTGATGGGCATCCGCTATAGATGTAGATAAAGTAGAACTGTGGGCTCTCGGGAGCCGTTTTCAGTGTTCACTAGAAATTATGTTACTCCTGGCACTCCTAAACATTTTAAGTATCACTGTAGGATAATAAACTTTATATGACTGAGGAAGAAAAACTGGAGACCACAGACAGATGTACCCAATATTTCTGCAAAGCCACACTGGAATTATTTATTTTACTGGAATTTCCCTCTAATATTCCTCATGGTTTTAACTCTGCTGTCCTGCAGATAGAGAAGTTACAGAATTGTACTTTACTGCTGCTTCAGCCTGTAAATCAGTTCCCTCAAATAGGGGCTGAGTCATGTTGGCCATCCCATGCCAGTAAAGTGGTAGTGTTAATGGTGGCATTCACAGCGGTGATTTGCAGCCTGCGTTTTTAGTCCAGCAGTTGTGGCCTCCAGGCAGCTGATTAATGGTGTTTGCTCTCAAATGGTAGCCTCGAACAGAGAGCAGTTTCTGTTGCTTTGGCTGCAGGCTGATGAGACCTCACTTGTGGCCCATTTAGTATTCTCAAGACCTCCCATTGAGACTTGATCAAGAATGACCTTGAACTCCATCCCCAGCATCACGTCTTGTTGCCTGAAGGACAAACCTTGTGCCTACTACTGTGACCCAGTTCTATGAGCAGGGAAAGAGAGAGTTGAAAAGGAAGAGGGACAAATCTGTGTTTGTATGTGTGTAAGGCGGTGGTGGCAGGGCATAGCCTACTTCTCGTACCCTACTTTAGCCCTCTCTTTATGTGGGAGCAACTGAGCTACACTGACTACACCATCTCCTGTTTCCTTTTTCCTTTTTTTCATGTTTATTGACCAGATGGTGGCTTACAGGTCAAGGCAAACGCTGAATGCTGCCAAAGCCATGTTGGAATAAACTTCAGCATGTCATATCCTCGATTAAACTGCGATTACTGTCTGATAATCCTAAATTGAAGTTCAGTTAGTAATGCTGGTATAAGAGTAAGCCAGCATGCATGAAACTTTAATAAAGTAAAATTATTACTCAACCTATACCCACACAACACGAAAAGCAGACATGCGAGATTAACAGGGCAGCATTTAGCAACTTAAGAAACAAATATTTGTCTCAAATGTTGGTGGAAACTGTATAAACCATACCTCTATTTATACAGACTATAACTATATTTGGTGATTTGTTTTAGTATTTTCTTAATTTCTGCAGTGAAGGGAATGAGGGAATTGTATAATTGATTGAATATATCAATAGAGGGCTTGCAGATGTTTGGGTTGTATTTAAGGTCTAGAACCATATATGAAACAGAGAAGATGGAGAGGGTGTACATTGTCAACATCATCTCTGCTTTTAAAATTGGGCTTCAGACTTTTGTAGTTGGGGCTAGATGAGGTGACCCCCAAGTTCTTTTTGGTTTTGCTGGAATAGGCTCAGCCTGCTGAGGAATTTCCTATGATACACTTGGCATTCATCACCACCTGTCTACTTCCCTCTTTTAATTCCTGATGCATTTATATGCTTGTCTGTAACTTTTATCTATTCTCTCCTATAGTTAATGTTTTGTCTCATTTGTTATTCGTGGTCTCTTCTCTTTCCTCTCACCCCAGAGTTGGTTGCACTAGATACCCGCAGCTACCTGAACCTGGTTTCTTCCTCTTAAAAGGGAGTTCTCTCTTCCCACCATTGCCAAGTGCTTGCTCATATAGAATTTTATGATTGCTGGGGTTCTCTCAATAGAAAACACCTTGAGGTGACTATTGTTGTGAATTGGTGCTATATAAATAAGACTGATTTGATTAATTTGAAAGTTCAGTTCCTGCTGCCAAGCTCGCTCTAAACACTTTTTCTAGTGGATAGTTTTGTGGCCTGGTTGCCATTGTGGCCATGTGTAGTTTCTTTTATTTCATTTAGACAGCATGGTGGCTTAATTAGTTAGCAATATTGTCTTAAAGCAAGAGAGTCCTGGTTTGAATCTAGACAGTTTGCATTTTCTCCCGGTGCTTGTGTGGGTTTTCTCCAGGAGCTTTGGTTTCTCCCACCACTGGAAAAACATGCAGTTAATGCTGTCTGTCTGGACAAGGGCTGACAGTGTATATTCTAAATGAGATTATATAATCAAATATTTTTAAAAAAGGAGGGGTTTTCGAGTTCTGGTAGCACTAATCCAGACAAGAGATTCTTAATCTCCTGGTTTCTGGGTTCATTAAAGGTGAATAATAATCCAGTGAAATACCATCTTGCTGTCAGATGTACTCAATGTTTGTTCCTCCTCCTGCTCTGAAAATATGCTGTAATCTGATGGGCCGTGTTAACCAGAACCAACAGGAGGAGAGCTGATTCATGTGCCACGATGCTGAACTTTCAGAGGCCATAGAGCAGAAAAACGACTACAATCGCTAGCTGCAGTCCAAGACTGAAGAATGTTTTTGTCACAAAGCGTGTGGGTGTGTGCTGTGAATGGAGGCACCAATGCTTTCACTATAAATACTTGTGTGCACACGACACGGCAGCCCCCTTGCCCACTGAATAAATAGAACCTCAATCTTTTGAAAACACTTGTAAAGCACTTTTAAAAATGAACCCTGAACCAGACAAAAGTGCTCAAGAGTCGTTGTACTTTCTTTCTCTTTTTTTTTATCATCAAAGCATGTACACTAGATTCCTGCACCAGTTAAACCAGTTGAAATGTAAACAGCTCTTCATCACTTCTGTAAAAATTTCAACAGTCCCTTTCACAGATGCTTGGAGCAAATATGCAGCTGTTTGCAAACAGATGTTATCACTTTATGTACAACCCCCAAGACATTGAAATGCTAAAATATAATGCAGGTATAAAATATATCCATATATTATATGAAACCCTTATTGTTGTTCTGCTAGCTTAGCACCATGTATTCCTACCTGTAGCCGCTTACCGCTCACTCCCCCAAAATCATTGTGTGTGGAGTACCTTAACAATTATATTGAGAGGTGATTGTGCAGGATACTGCTTTAGTTGTAGTACTACAGCTCTTATATACTGTGCTCTCGTTTGTATTTTTCACTGGCATTTGTTTTCATGAGACTTTTTAGAGCAGAGATAAGCATTACCATGTTGTTTTTAAATGTGCCTGCATGTCCTACATCCAGAATTGCTTCTTAAAATATCAAAATCCTCACTTGGGTGTTTTTCCTTTAAGGTAAACCAGTTCTAATCTTTCAGTGGCAGCTTCTTCTAATTAATCATTCGTATCATAATTACCTGTTTTAATCCTTTCTGGGAGTTAATTAAACAGGCTCCTTTATCTGTAGTTCCATAAAACTACAATTTCACTCTAAATCTTAGTGTTTACACGTCTCCTTTAAAGACTCAATTTGGACAGCTAATAATGCCATCCATTCATTTATCCACTTCAGGGTTGCAGGGGGTTCTGCACCTTTACAGAGTGAGATGCATGCAGCACCACTTTATTTTTTATTTTTTACTTTGTTTAAAATGTGTGGACAGATCAGAATGATCTTTAACTGACAGCTTTTTTTCCCCTTCCCTTGCATTCTCTTCTTTTAACTGCCTGACAATGGCAGTAGAGGACCTTGCAGAGTATAGTTTCTTTAGTCAAAGGAAATGGCAGAGGAGTGGAGCACGGAGAGAGGAGGTGTGCATATGTCAGAGAGGGGCTGGGTAGTGCTGAGAGGAGGAGGAGGTGGGATGCATGAAAGAGAGTGAAAAGCAGGGAAAGGGGAGGGGACTGTGCTCTCATTCACATTGGTGGCATTTGCCTTGAGAATGAGCGGTTTCTTTTTTGGGGAAGGGGGGTTTTAGAGAAGTTTTTTTTTTTTCCCCTCAGGAGGGTTGGTCAGAAACAGAGAAACAGGAACGGAGTGAGACACGAAGGGGCAGGAGGCTGGATGATCAGAAGGAGCTGGTCAGACATCAGAGCAACTATGCAAGGAACAAACTGGGGTAAGAGACTCGCAGGAAAAAAACCGTTGGAGAAACAGGAAGTTACCTTTTAATTACCTGGCCATTGAAAGTGATGGGCAGTGTTTGACATTCACAGTGGGAGTCCCACTGTGACTGAAAGTTACAGAGGATTATTGTACATTAAGGTAAAAAGAGAAGAATTTTTACATTTGTGTAAAGAAATGTAAACAATTAGTTGATGAATCTCTTAGCTTATCAGCATGCACTTACTGTTTTCCTATTCAGTATGCCATATAAATTTTTATAATCTCCTTAAAGTAAGAATTAAATATCTTTAGGTTTAGACTCCCAA